TGGTTATTTGTAGACATTTTAGCGGCACCGCACGCCGTTTTTTTTCTTTCACTTTTGTTACAGATATTCGCTTCCCTGTCGAAATATGTTTAAGTATATATATATATATATATTAGCTTTGTTTGTTGCTGCTATTTTTGTTAAACACGATTTTTGGCAGACGCCGTTGCCGTTGACGTCGATTTCAATGCAGAGCTAACTGCTGATTTCCGTCCGTTCAACGCAAAGTTCCCGATACAATTGAATTCTAGTTGGAGGCGAAGCCAAGGCAAAGAGCATTTAAGAGGCAAGCAGCGCTGTTAACTTAACAGACTGCTGTTGCTGTTATGCTCAAATGAAATGCCAACAGTCTGGCCACTGCTACGCTTCAATTCGCACCTTCTATCTCCTCTCTTTGCATGCTCTCAGCTGTTAGATGGGCTAACAGAGCTCTCGCAATTAACACTGCTGCGCTCTCGCGCTCTCTCTGCTGTTGTTGCGCTCAGCTGCGGGGGAGTGGCAGCTGTTGACTATGCCGTTCCATTCATTTGCCAGGCACAGCTGTTGCTGTTGTACACAGCTTCTCTTTTGTTATCAGATTTTCCACTCCATTGCATCTGCACCGACAGACTAAGCATGCAGGTAAACTGTTCAACAGTTGAATTAACAATCAGTTGTTGCGTTGTTTCTCTCCCAAATGAATGCAGGCCACGCATGTGCAACGCAGCTGCTTCTGTTCACAATGCCATTAAGGATTTTTGTTGAACGTATCTTTGTCTGCTTCCGACCTGCACAATGTAGAAAAAGATACGAACTTCGTCCTTCTCACAAAATGGTTCTAAATACTTTGCTTAGAAATGAAAGAAAACTGCATTCACAGAAAAATATTCAGTATTGGGCTTTAGCAATTTTTGTGCCCGGTTGAAACAAAATTTGGAAACTCTGAATAATTTGCAACTTTCAGATAATCACAGAAAATGTGATAAGGAAAGATCTTTGTTGATAGTTTTTCAAATAAAGTACAGAATAATATATACAATTCATGCAAAAGGTAAAAAACAATGATTCGCTTATAAATTGGACGATTAACAAGATCTGTTAGTCAAAACATATCGGAATTTTAATCTTATTTATTTTCGATTCAAATTCCAAATAATGTTTCAACCTAAAGAGCTTCGATTCAGCCTTAAGATTCCTTTGTCTGGAAATCGATTTTGTAATCTATTGAAATAATGAGCACAATTGTGCGTTGGCACACTTTCAGATGTCCATTAAATCAATACTCCAATTAATATTGATAGCGCTGTCTATTGAGCGGAATTGCTTTGGTTCCGATGAAACTGGCTTTACTTCAATATTCAAATGGATCCAGTTGATAAGTAGAGCAAGTATATAGAATTTATTGATTGGGGACTTAACAGGCGGTATAATGAACAGCTGTCGTAATCGTTGAGCGTGTTACACTTGTCGGTTGACATACTTCCAAGCTGTCAATTCTTTTCATATTGCTCTTTTTAAGACCTTCGATGCTTAAAACAATGTCCGAAGCGTGTGTGACAGGTGTCTTGCGGCGGGGGGGGACTGTAACATGTAAATATGGTAAATTTCGCCGTGGCACAGTTTATTACAATCTCGTCTTATCGTTGCATTCGCAAGAAATGACCTTGGGTACCGAGGAGGTGCATTCAACGGCTATTGGGGGTTTTCAAAATCAATGCAAATCAATTATTAACGGTGCCGAAGCCCGAGCCGAAGCTTTCGAAAAGCTTTTCTCAAATATCGCTGGTTTGTGCATAAATGAGTAAAAGCTCGAACCACTTAAGTTGGCTTTATGAAAACTTTATCAACTTTTAACTTTTAACAATATTAAAATAAAAAAAAATCTGTTTATAAGCTAAATTTTTGTGAATTCCTTCATATAAGACTTCTGCACTTTATTTTGTCGGTAAGGCCGATATAACAAGAATGTTATTAACAATAATATACAACAAATAATGATAATTATAAGATTAAGAATAAGACCCCAATTGAAAATATATATCTTTTATCGACTGATTCATCTGTCTGATATGACAAGCGGGCTTGGGCAGTTATCTTTAAGATATATCATACCTTATCATCTTAAAATATAGTTGGCCAATGTCGATGTCTAATTATTAGTGATATCTTTAGCAAGCCGGCTTTGCAGTCATCTGACAATACTGAAGGTTGTAAATTCGAGTTTAGATAAAACAAATCTTGTAAATCTCCGAGTCTTTCAACCGATTCTACCTATAATGTTACATAATTTATTAGTGCGATCTTGAAAAGATTTGCTTCATATATAAATAGCATAGCTTAACTAGTAAATGCCAATTTACGAACCTGTGCTAAGTTTCATGACATTGGCCTTAAGACTAAGAATATAGATAACCAAGAAGCAGGCAGATGGGTTGACAGATATGTCTTTTGGAGAGCGAAAAGCCAGACGGATGGAGCATTGTTTGAAGAGCGAAAAGCCAGGCTAGAAATTTTGCATCACATTCAAATGTTTGGGCGTGCTAATATTGTATTTGGCTATATCGACTCGGCTGTTGGTATTGATTATATATCTACCTTGTGGGATCGAAGACTTCTTTTTCTATGAAACAAAATAAACAATAATGTGAAAAATCTAAATTTTAATTCGTCAAAGTGTTGACAAAATTGTGCTAATTTATGTGTTGGGTGCAAAGAAGGCATCGGACTCTATCAAGTAAATAAAAAGAAATTCTTGATCTAAGTCAACTCTCCCGTCTGCTCACATGTCTGTCTGTGTGAAAGCATCGATAAGAGCAATTGCGCTCTGGTATATACATATACCTATATAGGTACATACTCGCTTGATTGTCAATATAAATTAAAGAGAGATGGGTATCTGCCTGTCATTGCCAAAAGTTTATTACCCAATTTCCCTAAACATCGAATAGTATTCAATGTTATTTGTTTTTCATCATATTGACCTCGGGCAATGCGGCTGTTGTGTTTGAAGAATCTGTTAGAAAAATCATGAACCTTAAGTGCAGACACATTAACACTTGATTATATGATTTATATTCTTCTTATCAACATACGTGGGCGAATTTCGAAACGCAAAAAGCATTTGCAGACATCGCCGTATCAAGTTTGCCGATCTGAATTGCGGATCTCAAGTGCCAGAACTTTGGACACGCAACCGAATACATTCTGTAAGTAAACGATTTGTGAATGGCTTTTGATATGCGGCAAATCCAGCGAAATGTCGCATCTATTGGATAAACTTTTGTAAGCAGCTGTTGTGGTTAGACTTTTGCAACGATTGGATCAGAAGACATTTCGTCTGATGAAATTACTCATGCGAGGTAGACAAACAACAGCATCGACCCTGTTCAACTCGGGCATGTGATAAGGAGAGCCGGAGTAAACATTATACATATAGACATATTTATAACCCCAGACGCGCCATAATAATAACACTCTAAAAATAATTAACTGTTTCCGTATCTCAAGCTAGGTTGGCAACAATCCGATCGAACATTAAGCATAGTGCGACCAAGACCCCCAACATCTGTTCCAGCTGCCGGATCGGTAACCAATCACGACTGCGACTGGGCTCTCCTGACCCAACCCAATCAGTATTTGGAAAAATATGGGCAAAGATGACGTGTCCGTGGAGACCTAAACGCGTGTATCTGAGTGTTAATCGGCCGCTCAAGGTTCATTGTCAAGGGGGGCCAATGCATTGTTATTTTTATTGATACGGCCATAAATGTTATTTTTTTTTTTTGTTTATTCATCGACTTAATCAGCAATTGGGCATATGCCGTCCCTCAAAGGGCTGCTTCTTATGATTTCTCAATTTGATATACTTAACAGCCAGTCTCCGATCAAAACAACTCTGTGTACTCATAAAGTCTAGCATGATATGATTCAAAGGTTGCGACGCTTCAGGTGGTACACCTGCTAGCCTATGAGGCATACAAGGCCTTATCATCTGGTTTGTATTTTCGAGAATTCCGACAGGCTCAAGCCATATCGACTAGGCCAAGCAGCTGCTTGTGCTACAGATAAACTATGACAAAATGATTATTTATAACGCTGCTTCTTGAGACTCATTTTCAACGAGCTCTAATTAAATCTCGGAAATATCTATATGGAAAATATCTTCATAAAAGGTAAAGTGGGCTATCAAATTAATAGGCAAACCAGTTCTCCAGTTCTCAAACTCCCAGCACATGGATACATTTTTATAAGAATACTTGAACTGTTTTTAAGCCAAACGCTTAATTATCCTATAACAGAACAGCTTTGATTAAATTAGAGTTTTCAATTAGCAATTGCTTAATAAATATGCTTCTATTTTTAGATAACTAGAAATAATTATAGCTGAATATTATATATGGCAACTGTTCGATATGTTTCTGATCCAAGCACAACTCAAGCAATATCTTACAAATCAGGATACGAATGTCAAACAAGCTTGCATAAAACAGACGAATTACAGGGTATGTCAACAGTGATGTCATAAGACATTTAAAACAACTCTTAAAATAAATGTTATTAGTTTTATCAAATCAAGCTTACGTTTTAGATAATAGTAAGATATACGAAACTAAAACATTGCGATTTGAAAATGTTGTCAAGGCATTTCTTAATCTACAAACTTAAAATAATCTTGAATTATATTTATTATTACTATCTATTAACCAGTTCATCAAGAGAACGAATCACTCATTCTAGCCCGCGTGCATATTCAGTTGAGCTTAAGCTCGCATATATACTTGGAATGAAGTATGGGTGATTCCAGCTCGATGATTAACTTATCAGTAATAGGTAGTGCACACAATACTTTGTTTGTTTGTCCTAGGCAGTATTGAAAGTGGGTCTTCAAATATAGACATGGGTACATATATATATATAAATATATATATAGCATATATTAATATATGAAATATGTGTGTGTGTGTGTGTGTGTGTGTGCAACTATATAAATAAATGCGAAAGACCTTAAACGGCCGAAGCCGTAGATAATAATAATCTGGCTTTGGTTTATTCAAGCTTTATCAACATACTTTCTGTGTAATTTGGAGTTGATTAGCAGAACTTAGCACTCAGCATACTTGATACCATCTTCTATATCCTTAATAAGTTGTTTGATCAGCAATTTTAGAGCGTCTTCCTCACACCCATCCAACTCTGGAACGCCCAGATTCTCTTTGATGCCCTTCGGACCCAGCAGCAGGGGCGAGGCAAAGTACTCGGCCTCGGAGACATCCGATGCCACATAGGCACACTCGATGACATTCTCCTCATTGTTCATGGCACGCAGAATCGAGTTAACGAAATTCGCTGCCGCATAGGCCATCGAGAGGGTGGCAGAACCCTTGCCCGCCTTGGCCTTGACCACCTCGGTGCCGGCCTCCTGAATGCGGGTCAACATTTTCGTCCGCTGCTCGCTATTGACTTTGTATTCCGGTTGGCACTGCGAGAAGACGGGCAGTATGGTTATGCCAGCATGGCCGCCGATTACTGGAATTTTGACCTCCTGCGGATTAACGCCCAACGCTTCGCCAATGAAGGTCTGGGCACGCACCACGTCCAGCGAAGTGACGCCGAACAAGCGATTCGGATCGAAGGCGTCCTCCTGCTTGAGCACCTCGGCGGCAATGGGTATAACGGTGTTCAACGGATTCGTAATGAAGGCCATCATTGCGGCCGGACAAGCTTTGCTGACTGCTTTTGCCACATCCACTGCAACGCTGCCGTTGGCGCTCAGGAGATCACTGCGATTCATCCCTGGCTTGCGAGGCAGTCCGGCAGGCACAACGACAATTGCCGCATTCTCCAGAGCGCAAGCCAGCTCTTCCTTTCCCGTAAAGGACTTTACAGTGGTCGATGTGGATATGTGCGACAGATCGGCAGCTATGCCCTTTGTGTCGACAAGATCTTGTATCGCCAGCTCCGAAATCTGTGGATTCTGCTTTAGCAGCAAGCTAAGTGGCTGTCCAATGCCGCCGGCAGCTCCCACAACGGCCACCTTTATGCCTCGCGAGAAGCAATGGTTCCAGGAATTACATTTCGATTGGGCCCATCGGCTGATGTACGTTAACTGAGGAATTTGTTTGATCATTTTATTTGAAAGCATAGCAAATTATATATTTTGCTAAAATGTCGACTGCATAAAACTATTTCCAAAATACTACTGACTTCGACTTTCTATATAACAACTGAGGAAACTGTTTAAAATGCAAGGCTTACTATTTAAACAAAACAAAAAAAAGAAGACTGCGTGATTGACTGATTGACAAGCTAAGAATGAACTGAAAAGGTATAAGCTTGGCCGTACAAGGCCGGGTAATACGCACTCTTAACATATCTGCTCTTAGACATACTGAAATTTGAAAACTATTTGAGCAGAGTTGCAGATGAAATCGTTGAAGCACGTTTTCATTGTGGTTTTATGGAAGAAGTCTAAAACTTTGTCCAAAAAAGTTGCTTTCATAATCATACAGATTCTTAATACCTATCCTAAAATATAGATTTAAAATCAATTCAACATTAGGCCAGTTCACGTTGTAATTCTCAACTGGTTCGGGTGAAGATTGCGAATATTGCTGAAAAGAATAGTTTAGCTTCAACCGTGAACCATTTATTTAAACTATTTTATATATATCACTAATTAATCAATTTGGCTGCCAATTGGTGTTGTGACCGAAGCATTTGCTTTGCAACAATGAAATTACATTTATTCGAATCATTTTACATGGAAAATTATTATTTGAATCTATTACGTGATTGAGTTCGTCTTGTGACGCATTTTTCTTCGGGGAATTTGCCATTTCGCTGATTATTAAAAAAGAAAAACATGTTAAATTAAAAGTTTTTAAATGAACTGAATTAATTGAGTTGTGCAATAAATTGCGGGGATTCCCACGTTGAAATCATTTAACCAAAGCGTGCATCCTACAGCAAAATTTTCCAAATCGATATTCAAAATAATTATTTTGAGCAGTTGCCGCAAAATACGCATAGCAGAATAAATGAATGGTTGGTTCGGTTGGAGCGGTTGGCATTGCATCGTGGAGGCCGACGGGCACGGATTCCCCCAGATGATGATGCCAGCATTGTAATCAGTTGGCGCCTATGCAATCACTTATCAGCAGCGGCAGCATGATGTTTCACCAATTGACTGCGACGACCCCAGACACAGCATACTGTTTGACTAGTTGCACATATGTATATGTATGTGCGTGCGTGTGTGTGTGTGTGTGTGTGTGTGTGTGTGTTTTACATTTAATGAATGAGGAACTGCGTCAAGATGTCGTTTGTAGATTAGCGTAAATTGTTTCCTAGTTGCTCTGAGCATATTTCGCCGAGTCTTCGACTTTGCAATCGGGCTCCTTGATCGGCTCCTGGTCAGGCTTGGCGGCATCGATTATCTTTGCTGCGTAGCTTATGCCCCGTTCAATGTTCTGACGCAGCTCGGGCAGCAACTTTTGGAGGGCCGCCTCCTCGTCGGCATTCAGGCTGGGCAGACCCAGATTCTTTTTGATGCCGTTGGGGCCCAGCTCCAGCGGCGTGGCCAAGAATGCCAGTTCCGTGGCATCGGATGCCACGTAGGCGCATTCGATTACACCCGGCTCGTCGTTCAGGCCACGCAGCAAGGCGTTGACGAAGTAGGCGGCGGCATAGGCCATCGAGAGAGTGGCGGAGCCCTTGCCTGCCTTGGCATTAAGCACCTCGGTGCCGGCCTCCTGTATGCGCTCCGTCAGCCGCTTTACGTCCTCATCCTCGCCGGTGAATTTGGGCGAGCACTGCGAGAAGATCGGCAGTATGGTTTTGCCTGCATGGCCGCCGATGACCGGAATTTCAACCGTGGCCGGATCAATGTTCATGTAGTCCGCAATGAAGGTTTTGGCACGCACCACGTCCAGGCTTGTGACGCCGAACAGGCGGTTCGGATCAAAGACACCTTTGGCCTTAAGAAATTCCGCGGCAATGGGCACTATGGTGTTTATCGGGTTCGTGATGAAGGCCAGCAGCGCCTCGGGGCAAGCCATGCCCACGGCACAGGACACAGCCATTGCCACGCCGGAGTTGGCGTCCTCCAGCTGATCCCGCGTCATGCCCGGCTGGCGTGGCAGCCCGGCTGGCACCACGACCACATGCGAATCGTGCAGCGAATCGATCAGCTCCTGCTGTTTGACACCATCGAAAAAGTCCACCTGCGTCGAGGTGCAGATGTGCGACAGATCAGCGGCCACGCCCTTTATGTCGCCCACATCATGCAGCGTGAGTTCATCAATCAGCGGATTTTGCTTGAGCAGCATGGACAGCGGCTGCCCAATGCCGCCACCCGCGCCCACCACCGTCACCTTGTAGTTGCGCACGCCAAGCCCATTCCAGGACCAGTTGCCTTTCCTCTGGACGACTGCAGAGCTGTTCTGTGCCTTGAGCATCACCTTTAAGCACGTGCAGGCGCATCCCAGCATCTTGTATTTATTTTGGCTATTAGAATTTTACCTTTTACCTCTAAGAAATTTTATGATTATGGAACAATTAACAATTTCTTTTAGCTAAAAAATGAAAACTCCTGCCAAATCTGTCATGTGTAATTAAGTATGAAGCACCCAATGGAAACTCTGTCAACTAACTGAAGTCAACTCTAATTGAAATACCCTGTAAATACCCTTGCTAAACGATGAATATACTACAATATTTAATCTAGTAATATAATTGCCCTGTTCAGCTCACAAGAATTCTTAGAAATATCTATTTTCATTTAAAAGGAAACTTCAACAATATTAAAAGTATTTATTTTCTAAAATAGAATTTCATTCATTATACCCCAAATCATTTATAATTGGGTAAAAAGGGGTATAATGATTTTTCCCCAATATTTGTAACAGGCAAATACCTTGAAGCAGGATTACGAATTCATTTTCAATAATTATCGAAAGTTATAAAAACTAAAGTGTAGGCTATCGCATATTAAAAATATCTACTTTTTGGATACCGCTTCCATTCTTCCAAATTGAAACAAATTAGTTTTAAAAGTAGAGCCTGAAAATTCTTGAGGATCGGAGCATAAGATCCGATGCTATGCAATAGTACATAACTTTGTGTGTAGGAGAAATAAAGAATGTTTGTAAAGGTTGAGCTATTTTTTTACTTTTAAGTTAAAGCTTACTCATTTATATATAAATCTAAATAATAATGTAAATCATTGGAATATTGAAGCAGAGGGTGTGTCGTAGTCGAACAACTGCTCGATTTGGGTAAATCAGAATTTTTGGTCATTCGCTTTGACTGTAATCGAGAGAGTCAACAGTCGTACCTTAATCGCAACATGAAAACGCGATCTATGGAACCGACCAATGCTCGATGTCGATGCTCCCGATCGAAGCCGAGACCGTAGCCGAAGCACTGCGTCAAGGCGTCGTGGGTGCGATCGATGTTTGGTGGTATAAAACGTTCGGCGCTGTCAATGGCAACTTCCAGTTGCGGCCGGCTCTGCCATCAATTCGCATAGTAATTATATTACAAAAAAAAAAAAAAAACAAAAATTAATAAGCACAGATCAACAGTCAACGTCCTGCTACACGTTCACTAATCACGCATTAGAGCATTTAGTTTTAACACGCCAACAGAATGTTTCCAGAAGTGAGTATATATAACGAGTCGAAACGGATGCCAACGACTGCGCCATACTCTATCGCGTGTTCACAGTGTAATCACAGTCGGAAATCAGATTCTTGCTAAGACTCTAAGACCCCAAGACTGTGACCTTTGAACATATCGCTCAGAACAAAGACTCTTAAACTGCCGTAGACAGAGATTGTGGCCAGCGGCTAATATTCGAAATATAAACAAACAATATACCCCATTTTGCTAGCAATAAAGGAAAAATATGGAAGTTCCAAAAATGTCTATAAACAATCAAAGATCGGTTCTACAAGCTGATAAACATATATAAACTATATTAAAAAACTAAAATAAACATAAATACATTAAATTTAACCTAACCCTAAAAAGTGTTAAAGCGAAATCCAATCAGAGATTCCAGATCCAAGTCTTAAATAATAAATTATGTGAGCTTGGTTGGGTTTTGATGTTAATGGAGATGTTTGATATTAATTGTCGAACTAACCAGAACCGGACAGAAGCGCCTGACCCCATGTACATTTCATTAATCCCACCCGCAAATCGTAAATAGCGTCATGCACAGAATTTCTAACCGTGTCACATGATCGGTCGCCGCGTTCAGCTGACTTTTCCCTTAATTTTATTTGCCGGCTAATGGATAATCAAGTGGTTGTCTCTGATTTTCAGAAATTCAACCATAAGTGGCAGCTTCTGCTGCTGACGACGCTGTTGCTGGTCGCGTGCCTCTCGATCTGCGTCGAGGGGCGACCGTCGCCGGACGCTGACGTTGGGCAGGGAGCTGCGGCACAGCTGCTGGTGGACCCCAGCGAATATCCCGGCAATCTGCCGCCGGAGACCATTCTGAAGGTGCAGCAGTGCGAAAAGGACCAGACAACCATGGAGCTGTGCATGCGCTGCGCCAAGGTAACCAAATCGGAGATCATCTATCCGATGTGCTGCAACAACGACGATAGCGTCAAGGACTGGTGCCACGACTATGTGTATTATGGCGACGACGAGGGCTACTAGCTGCTGGCGAGGATGGCCCCAAACGAGGTCGTTGTCTCTTAGGATACTTACTTGCTGAAATCCAATAAAATTCCTTGTATCCTGCAAACACTGCGGGTCTATTGGCTGTGATATTTAAGGCAATATTAATGTTTATACTTACACAAACCTACTTATAACTAGAAATAAATAACATTTGCGCTTTGAGCTGCATAAGAATACGAAAAATAATCCACTGCATTCTAGTCATCAGCTGAGCAACGAAGGCCAAAGTTCAATCTTCCTATTGTATCTTAAAGATACACAAAACAACTCGGGCTAATATTTCCTTACACACATGAGGAACATAGTATTTGCTGAGCCTGCTGAAAATATCTTGGAAAACAGAAAGAGTTTCCCTCACACAAACCAAATCCTTACTATAGCATCTATGTGATATAGCGGCCCGATCCGGATTTATACAGTTTCATGACAATGTAGAGAAAGAAACATGTTTGAAAAGCTGACACGATACTGATCGAGAATATATATACTTTATGGGATCGACAATGTCTACTTCGGTAGGTTACACATTTCATGGTAAGCCTAAAATACCCTTTAATTGATTGGCACAGGTTTTGTCTCGTGCTAGCTCTTGCGTGCTCTGACTTGAGTGAATCCAACTCGTAATAAAATACACTTGAGAAAATTTTGTTTTTGTTTTTTAAATTTATTTTTGTAAACTTCTTTTGTGTTTAATATATATTTTTCGAAAACTTTATAATAATTACAAATGTAAGTATTCTTTAAATGAATATTCAATTCGAATTGAATCGGTTTAAGTTGATTGAGTTGCCTTTTAAAATAATTGTAGAAAACGCATAAATAAAAACTATTATATATGTATATCGATTGGGCAAAACATATAGAAACCCGTTTTAGCTTAACGACAACTACTATATTACAGTTCATGCTGTTGCGGATTTAATATGGCAATCAATTTTTGGAGCAAATGAAATATGCACAATCCGTTCGAACGGCTTTTTAAACGGCCGGCCCGACTTGATCGAACTTGCACTAGTTTACAACACCACGTGATTTGTAACTGTACGATATAAATGTATGTAACAAAAACAATGTTTCAACAAGAAACTATATACATATTTTTTTTTTAGTCACTCGATCGATCGAACTGACGCTCGATCTGCGAACTCGAACTCGAACTCGAACTCGATCTTCTAGCTTCTTTGTTCATTTCAATCAAACAATTATTCAGTCTTTTTTGTTTGATACTTTTTTGTTGTTGTTGTTGTTAGTTGTTGTTTTTGTTTTGTTGTTGTTGTTGTAGTAGTTGTTGTGGTAGTTGTTGTTGTTGTTGTTGTTGTTGTCTCTCGTTGACTGAAAGCAACATTTAAATATAAAGTCGCGTGAAGAGTTCAACTTACCAGAATTCAAGCACGCTATTTTAGAATGTTATTGGGTTATTTAGTTTTTATACAAAAATGTTATCACTGCCTTAACGCGCTGGCAGCGACGGCAGACTTGGCTGCACGATTTAAATGCAGATAGGAACAGTCGGAGTCTTCGCAGCGACCCATCAGCTCAAAGGGGCACACGGTGGCATTGACATTCGGCTGGCTGCAATTAGTACAACAGGCAAACAAATGCATTTGGATGGCGGCAACTGCACGTAGATTCATACACACACACACACACACACACACACACACCTGTTGTAGTTGCGGGACAACGGGGTGCGGTACGCGCCAAGCAGCGACTTCTTAACGGGCGGATCGCACAGCTGCCGCATAAAGCTGACGGTGTAGGGCGGCGCCTTTTGGACTTCAGTGGCATCCGGTGCTAGATTCCGTGGCGTGATCTGCAAGTAAACTCAACCAGTTTGTTAGTACGGGTTAGCACAGTTAGCGGGGTACAATCAGCGGTAGATGAGACATGTTCTTAGAATTAGTTGGTAGCTATTGGAGAATATCATAAATCCACGCACATCAAATTCCAGCTGTGTCTTTACAGTCCCTGCCTCTTCTCCTGCAACTGCTACAGATACCGCTTCTTCTGCTGCTGCTGCTGCTGAGGTATTGCATTCACTTGGCTGTTCCTGTGGCTGTTGCTCTGTCTCCAACTCCGGCTCGATGCTCTGTCTTCCATCAGCAGACGGTTGGCTATTACCGTTGCTAGAGGAAATGGACTGCTCGCTCGGCTCCCGACTAGTTTCATGCTTCGGTTCAGGTACTGACTGTGGCTCTGGGTCTGCTTTTGACTTGGACTGCATTAGTTCCTTACGTGCAGACACATCGGCCTGCACCAAAACATCCTCATATTTGAGAATCGAATTATAGGAACGTATCTCTTTGGTTAGCTCCGTGGACTTGCGCGATATTTCCGCCTTAGCCGGATCCAGCAACCTGCAAAAAACACCAGCTATAGTATAACTGCAATGTATGTGAATGCCGCGTCCATTTTGGCACATTCCGGCGCTTCCACGATAATTGTTGGCCCCTTTGCGTTGTGGTCCACAGCAACCTGCTACCGCTGTTGCTGCTATAGTTGTTGTTGTTGTTGTAGTACCTGTAGTCAGCGCCCTGAAGGCCATTGCCCAGATCCAGAGCAGCGTTTTGAAGTTTGTTGCGCTTCTGCTTGAGCGATATGATAATCTCATGGCTGGCCTGTATCTCAGACTGTATGCGCGCCAGCTTCGACTCCTCCAACTTGACCGCCTGCTTAACGGCCTGCATCTCGGCATAGAGGTCCTTCAAGCGGTGCGAGTAACGTAGCCGTGCGATCTTTGACTTTTTTGCCTCCTCCACCATATGCAGCGACTTGTCCAGATTGGCTATCATGCTGCCCCTGTCATGAGGCACAGAATATTAGAAATTTTACAGTGTCCCGTCTGTATATGCATAAATACCCGATTTTGAGAAATGAACTCTCGAATGCTTTGAGTCGACTCTCCTTCGATGGCTGCGTCGACTTGACTGCTGCCGTTGACGTGCTTGGAATATCGCTAGCAGTGTTTGTGTCCGTAGCAGTAGCAACTGGATCATTAGGAGCTGCTGCTTGCTTTGCACCTTTGGGCCCTGCCCTGACTGTCACTTTCTTGAGAGCTTTGCTGCCTGCTGTGGTCGTTTTTGTCTTGGCTGCCAAAGCGGCACCTACCGAAATCTCTTGTTTGCCGACTGTGGCTGCGGCTGGAGCCTCTTTTGCAGCAGCTGTCGTTTGTATGTTGATCGTCCTCACTCCAACGCCCACTTTCTTCTTCTCCAGCAGCTGCATGCGCTCGATCAGACGCAGGTATTCCCTTTGCGATGCTACCGGCAAGTGTCGCACAGCCTGGCCAGATGTTAAAGTGTAATTAGTCTACCATCGAATTCTAATTTGTATTACTATAAATAAGCTCCACACTCATGGCTACTTAACCAATTCAAACTACTTCAAACCTAGCCTGCAATTCCAACAATCAGTCGACTCTTTAGTTATTAGGCAACATGATTGTGGGAAAACCAGGTGCGGGGAAAGATCTAGTCGGAAGTTATTTCAGCTTTTTGATGGTGTCAAAAATGTGATAAGAAAGTTCGGGAAGAGTATTTGATTTACCGAATCGAATCAATTACAAAATTAAAAATAATACAGACATCCTTTGCATAGGAAAAAACTAGACTAATTTTATATATTAAATAGCTAGGTGAAGGGTTCAGGGTATCTCCCAGTCGAGAGCACTTTTCTTTTGCTCCCAAAAAAGTTTCTAAAATATATGATAATGGCCATAGAATTCTACCCCCTGCCAAGTTATGGGAATATAGGATTTCAAAGTTCGAATCTAATCTGCGTTTAAATAGACAAGTTGTTCTCCAAGGAGTCAAGCGCAAACAGAGGAGAATTCGATTACATACCACTGGCGTTGGCTTGGCCTTTTGTGGAGTCACAGCAGGTTTTTCAGCGGCCTTGGGCGGTTGGTCGGAAGACTTTTCCATCTTTGGCGCTGGTTTCGTGCTGTCCGCTGGTAAAACTGTGGGCACCTTGGAGCGCGCCTGCTTCAGGAAATCGTCCAGTTTCTTCTCAAAATACTCGTTTATGACCGTGCGCCGCAAATTGGGATTGCTGGACGATGCTGAATCCAGGATCTCGGAGTTGGGCGTATTGGAGCGAGTCGTCGAATTGCTGGCACTGTCCATTGCCTGGCTAAAGGGACTTGCGTTGTCGGCATAGCTTGCGTAGCTGTTGTAGGCGTAACAGCTTCTCAGCTCCAGCTCATCGTCGCTGCCAGCCGAGGACTCGGCCAGGGCGATGACCAGCTTGTTCACTTTGATGCTAGACGGATCGAGTGTGGTTATCAGTCTTGTTGAGCTGTTGCCGTTCTGGCTGTGAAGCGGAGCCACTGACTCCTTGACCAGGAGCGTCGTTGGACGCTTTGCAGCCGTTGCTAGTTCCGCCAGCTTTGAAATCTTGCGCTTGGGCGCTGTCTTCTTGTTGATTACCTTGTTGGGCTTGACGATTTTGATGATGTTCGTCGAGGTCGACGCGACGTTGGGTGTCGGCGCAGCTGAAACTTCCACTGGTATTTGTGGCGGAGGGACAGGCAGAGGCACGGGCGAGGGCACGGGCAAGGACAAGGGCACGGTCACTGTCACAGGCAGAGGCAAAGGCACGGGCACCATCACAGGCAGGGACAAGGGCAACGGCACAGGCACAGATTCCGACATAGACAGAGGCGCAGATGGTGGTTGAGGCAACGCTGCTACATGCTGCAGATTGACTTCCGTTTGTTGAGCTGGCTCCAATGGCACATCATGTTGTGTTTCATTCGACGGAACGACTTCATTGGACTGCAATGAAGACGCCTGAAAGCGACGCACTGCATTTTTAAGGATCTCTGGACTTTCGTGCATCATTTTTTCGGGACTGTTCTTTTTCCTGGACGCGATGCTGGACAGCAACAACTGGCGCAACTCCTCCGGATCATCAGAGTCATGAGCAACTTTTTCGTTCTCAACAGAAGGTGGTAACGGCACCTTGGCAACCTTAGAATCCTTAGCATCCGCTGCTGGTTTAAGTTTGGACAGCAGCATGGCACGCAACGCGCCCGCCTCGTCGTCGCTGGACTCAGGTTGGAAGGGGCGCGAAGTCTGTGTCTGCGTTTGTGAGTTATCCATGGAAATGGACTGAATGTCGCTGAGGGAGCCCTGTTGGGAGTGCCGCTCACTCAAGTGCAGCGCGTCCCTGGCATCATCATCATCCAGCTGCACGTGTGGAATGTGAAATGAAGGCGGCGGCGGCGGAGCCTCGTCATCTTCGTCGTCTAAGACATCCTCCTTACGCTGATCCTGCTGCAGCTCCTCGTCGTCGTCGTCAATTACAATGGGCATCGAAACCGGCGGCAGGGAGTTGGGCATAAAGCAGCGCCAGCTGCCGCCGCTGTTAACCGTCGACTGCCAGGGATGTGGCCACTGTTGTATGTCCTCGTCACTGTCAGTCTGGGCCAGTTCCATGTCGACGGGCTCCTCGATACGCGTCGGCGGCGGACTGTATGCAGTGCGCTCCGGCGATGCAGCTGGACTAATCTCCATAAGGTCATCGATATCGTCGCACTCATTGCTGACCGTAGGCTGATGCACACGGCTTATCATATCTGTCGGAGAATAGGCGCGCTCCGCGTCTCGCTTCTTGCGCGCTATATGTTTTTTTAATATTGCCGATTTAAGGGCAATGAGACGCAGCTTTAGCTCCGGTAGATCTTCAGCCTGCCCAAGCTGCTGCTGCTGCTGCTGTTGTTGCTGTTCCTCAACCTCTTCCCTCACGGTGCGATGCTGACTGTAGCCCTCAAACGAGTGCGGCGGCAGCTGATCCTGCGTTTTAATCGGATTATCTGCTTGGTTTCGACCTGGACTGGGTGACTTGCGCATGCGGTACTGAAGTCGCTCCCTGAGACTGTACTTGGGCTTGATATCGTAGTTGCTATCACGTGCCAGCGCCATGCGCAGCTTGTTGCGGCTCAGCTTCAGCTCTTCATCGTTCTCGTTCTCCACATTCATATCGTACTCGCAGACTTCATCGTCCGTCACGCTGTCCAGTGAATCCAGCAAAATGGTAGCCTGCTGATGGTGATGGTGATTGCTGTGGTGCTCGTGACGTCGCTTTTTGCGAGCGTGTGCCTGCTGTGCGTGTGCGCGGTTCGCGAAAGGATTGCGCCTATACAACGGACCATGTCTGCGATTTTCGTTTCTTTTCATCCTATGCTTGCGATATTTCTTTGGCGGGTCATACTCCTCCTCCGACAGGCTGGACACATCCGAGAGTACACTGGTTGGCGAGAAGTACTGATATGGCGCCAATCTCTCTATACCCTGCGGCCTTTGATAACCTGAAACGAATGCAGAAGGGCATTCAGCCCAATGAGTTTACCCTTTACAAATTGTGAGCAATGCGAAATAAGGAAGACGAAGCCTTCTCCTGGTGCACATCCGCATATATAATATACACATAAGAAAACTTCCACACACATGCAGAACACTTCTCTTGCTATTCATTAGACAAGGTCACATTACACAAACACACACAGCAATAGAACGTGTTGCTTCACTTTTGAGTTCAATATTGGAGAGTGCTTACTGTATTGATTGGCCAGATTGGCGGAGAGCATGTCCATTTTTTCGATATCCTTGCTCTTGTCCTCCAGCTGCTGTATGCGGGCACGTAATTTGAACTCCTCATCCTCCGATGATATGATCATTTCGAACTCATCGACTATTTCGCCCTCCTCGCGGTCTTCCTCGGCGCCATTTCCATTATCGACCATTTCGGGCTCTGGCACTTGCGAGGTCTGCGCGGACTTCATTGCGCTGCAGCCATTTAATTGTTGATCTGTTGTAAAGCTCTGCATTGTGCAGACGACCATTTTTAAAAGTCTAACAAATGTTTCTTATTTGTGCAAATTCAACACTTTTAATGAAAAAAAAAAAAAAAGAACAAAGTACGTGTGTATGTACTTTCCGTAGTGAAGAGGAAGAGCGAAATGCCAAAACAGAGATGTTATTTAATTCAGCTGTTAGTTAACATTCAGTTAACACTTTGTTTACAGAGATAAGATAAAACATCTTGTAAAAATTATGTTGATAATGTTGTGAATTAAAACATAAGCTTAAAGGCAGTATTAAAGTTACGCAATGTTGGTAAAAGAATTTGCGAGTAACTAACACATTGAATTTAAATGGGTCAGCAGTAATTTTAATCTGGAGAAATATCGATGGGTATTACATATCGTTAAAGTTTGAACCGATACGCCCGATATTATTGCTTAATCAGCAAAATATGATGTTAGAAACATCATATCCACTTCTTTTTATTAATAAAATCAATTTCAAATGCACGAAGAGATCAATTCTGTTTCTAAAAAATGTTAACCTTGTTGAATTAAAAATAAAATATCGATATTAAATTAATATAGCTTAGAGCTGTCTCCGTTTGACAGTGTTGCACAAGTAAGAAACGCCCTCTAGATGTCATAATCTGAACTAAAAAAAATTCAGTTCAGTGTCGAATACCGCACTTCCGCTCTTTTCTACCCAACTCGCGGAGCAAAATGCAGCAAAAGGTATTTGTGGTTGTGAAAATTGTGCGAAATGTGCCCAACTAACGACAAAAATGTTGCAATCATTTACTTTTTTTAGCGCAGAGAACCCGTGCAGGCCGTTCAAGTCTTCGGACGCAAGGTGTGTGTAAAAATGCCAATTTAAAACATTAAATTCATTGCACGTGTGCCAAAAAAGCAGAGACCAACAGAAGCCGACGCTCGTCCGCGCGACGTTGCTGAGGTTATGTTTGTGTGATGATTATTTTCAAAATATGTATGTAAATTGAGATACTAACAAATTGTGGCATTCTGTTGCAGAAAACCGCCACTGCTGTCGCTTACTGCAAGCGTGGCAGCGGCCTCCTCAAGGTGAACGGACGCCCCCTGGACCAGATTGAGCCCAAAGTGCTGCAGTACAAACTGCAGGAGCCGCTCCTGTTGCTCGGCAAGGTTGGTTCCGGTTGCTTGATGTGTTTTTTGATATGATTCACAATGATGATACAAATTATCCCGAACTTGAAGACCAATGAGAATACACTTTTGCCTGATTGCTTTAATAGCCAATGCCTTCTTTGGACGCTTAAGCAAATCCAAATAATTCGAATATTGTCTATCTTGCAGGAAAAGTTCGCCGGTGTTGACATCCGCGTGCGCGTCAGCGGTGGTGGTCATGTCGCCCAGATCTACGCCATCCGCCAGGCAATTTCCAAGGCCCTAGTTGCCTTCTACCAGAAATGTGAGTATTCCAAGCCGTTGAACAGGGCATGGGAATGGCAGTACCAATGTGTATGCCCCTCAATAGGTTTTTGCTTAAAAGAATTGCCTCTTTCATGCAAATAATTCAATGAGGGCTAGAGAAACCACCATTATGAGCATATACCAACCAAGCTGGAAGCGCTTTACAAGCACAGATTGGGTGATGCGGCAAAAACATTAGATAAACTTATTAGCAGCACCTTCTACCAGATATTCGCTGGATCCTCTACCATGTCCAGTGAAAGACAAGTGCAAGGGAGAGCAAGTGCATGTGGCAATCAAAGCGAGTGATTTGTGCAATTAAAGTTGCCATTGCTATTTGAGGCTACATCGACATTCCCCGTAGATGAATCCGTTTTGCATTTATGTTTAAAATCAACCCACTAATTATGTTGTTTTCGTTGTATGTATTCATTGCAGACGTCGATGAGGCCTCCAAGAAGGAGATCAAAGACATTCTGGTCCAGTACGACAGAACCCTCCTGGTTGGCGATCCACGTCGCTGCGAGCCCAAGAAGTTTGGTGGTCCCGGTGCCCGTGCTCGTTACCAGAAGTCGTACCGTTAAGCTTTCTGCTGATTTTCAATTTGGATTAGATATTTTGTACAACTTGAAAATATTTGCGCGTTTTCTCTTCAATTCGAGGAGCATGTGAATAAACGGAATAATTAACTTAATGTGCCACAAACGAGTAATTATTTGGGCCTGAATTAAATAAAAACATGTTCATAGGTTTGATAAAACAAAATAAGAGCAAACCAATCTAAAGATAAAATAGATGGGCAAAGTCGAAAAGTCGGTTACTTTACGGTTTGATTTTATTTACAGAAAAATGGTAAATGTAAATAATTAGTTAATAATTCATTTCAAATAGTCAAACGTATTTGTATGTCTCATAATTTTGGATCCTTATGGATTTATCAACCCAATTTTCAAGGAGTATCGTTGCTGCACAACTCCCGAAAATTTAGCTGCCACCGTTTAATCGGTAACTTTTAATTTATATTTTTTAATAAAATACACAAGAAAGATGCGTTTCTTTACCGGAAATGGATTCCTGCGAAAAGAAAACTACATTTACTTTACGAAAATAATGTTTTGTGATCAAAGCGAAGAATTGCCCCAATATGAACGTTAATCGAAATAAAAATCAGAGTGTTATCGATAACACGCCAGTAACGACAATTCGTACATATTATATCGATAGCATTTGTGCATTTGTCATCTCTAGCGTCGGCAGCGCAATTCAGAAAAAGCGGCGGCACAAGCGCCCTTTAATTTTGTATGTGAATCAGAGAGTTAGAAAAAAGCCAACTTATATTGTAGAATCTGCAAAATGTATGTAAAAAAGTTGGTGCTTGATGGATTCAAGTCCTATGGAAGGCGCACTGAAATCGAAGGCTTCGATCGAGAGTTTACGGCCATCACAGGTCTAAACGGTTCGGGCAAATCAAACATTCTAGACTCGATATGTTTTGTGCTTGGCATCAGTAATTTGCAAAATGTAAGTCAGTTCGGGCTATTAATAGTTAATTTTAAAATGCAATATTTCTGTGTTACAGGTGCGTGCGTCTGCGCTGCAGGATTTGGTGTACAAAAACGGGCAGGCCGGCATAACAAAGGCAACGGTCACAATTGTATTCGACAATACGAATGCGCAGCAGTGCCCGCCAGGATATGAAAAGTGTCGCGAGATCTCCGTGACGCGTCAAGTTGTTGTCGGTGGCAAGAACAAGTTCCTCATCAATGGAAAGCTGGTGCAGAACAAGAAAGTTCAGGACTTTTTCTGCTCGATGCAGTTGAACGTCAACAATCCGAATTTTCTAATTATGCAGGGCAAAATTCAGCAAGTGCTAAACATGAAGCCCAAGGAGGTAAATAAATATACCAATTAAACATTAATAAGGTTCGTTAACACACACTTTTGGTATTTGAAGGTGTTGTCAATGGTTGAGGAAGCGGCCGGCACAAGCTTGTACAAGACGAAACGCGACGCGACCAAGACGTTGATTGAAAAGAAGGAGGGCAAGGTGCGGGAAACCTCTGCCCTACTGGAGGAGGAAGTGCTGCCGAAACTGGACAAGCTGCGTAAGGAGCGCACCGCGTACCAGGAGTACCAGAAAACATGTCGCGACATTGAGTTCCTCACGCACATACACATTTCGGCCAGATATCTGAAACTACGTGACGCTCTGCAGTCAGTAGAGGCCAGCGAGCAAAAGATAGAGAGCCGCATTGCCAATTGCCGCGAAACTCACGCCAATAACCTGGAGGAAGTTGAGCGCATTGAAGTTACGGTCAAGGAAATACAACATAAGATAGACGCTGAAATGGGTGGCAGTCTTAAGTCCCTTGAGGCCGAACTTGCTGCCAAGCGTGCCGCCGAGGCCACGGCGTCAGGCAGTCTAAAGGCTGCACAGGGCACAATTGAGCAGGATGAAAAGAAAATACGTATGGCCAGTAAAAATATCTTGGACGATGAACGCGCGCTGCTCAAGAAACAGGAAGCCATGTCAAAGGTTCAGGGCGCGTTTCAGAGCCTGAAAGACGCCGACGCAACGGACGCTAAAGCCTATGAGGATGCACAGCGGAAGTTTGAGGCCGTATCGCAGGGTCTGTCTACCAACGAGGATGGACAAGCCTGCACACTGCAGGAGCAGCTAATCGGTGAGTTGCCAAGCAATCCAATTTGGTAAGATTAGTTGGTTTATTTTCGGCTTTATTCACAGCTGCCAAGCAGCAACTGAGCGAGGCACAGACTACGATTAAAACCTCGGAAATGGAACTGCGCCACACGCGCAGCTTGCTTAATCAAAAGCAGGGCGAGACGCAGACCAACGATGCAGCCTACATCAAGGACAAGCGGCTGCACGACCAGCTCGAGGCTGAAATCAAGAACTTGGAGCATCAGCTGCAGGGCCTCAACTACGAGGGCGGACAGTTCGAGCAGCTAAAGGAACGCAGGCAACAATTGCACAACCAGGTGCGCGAACATAAGCGCGAACTTGACCGGCGCAGCGGTTCCCGCTTCGAGCTTCAGTACCATGATCCAGAGCCGAATTTTGAGCGGCACAAAGTGCGCGGAATGGTGGGAAAGCTGTTCAAGGTGTCTGATATGCAAAACTCAATGGCCCTCATGATGGCAGCTGGCGGTCACGTAAGTGCCCAATTACTTGGCTTAATACTTTTATGCTAACCCATATTTACAGTTGTACAGCTTTGTAACGGACGATGATGTGACGAGCAAGAAGATCCTTCAGAAAGGAAATTTGCAGCGACGTGTCACAATGATACCCATCAACAAGATCAAATCCTACCCTCTGAGTCAAAAAGTTGTCGACTACGCCAAGTCTACCGTAAGCTCATCTTAAGATAACTGATTGCATTAGATAGTCAGCCTTACTTATCGTACTTTTTTATTGTACTAAATATTTAATGGACCATGTTTCAATCAATTTTAGTACACATTTAACTAATCATGTAATCTACTTGTAGTACGGCGCGGACAATGTGGAATCTGCCTTGTCGCTGATTGAATACGACCGATACTTTGACCCGGTTATGAAGTTTGTGTTTGGCGGAACGCTGATCTGCAAAGATTTGGATGTTGCCAAAGGGGTAAGCACAATCGAATGCCACGTAGTAAACATTAACTGATTATTCTTCCTTCCACTAGCTAAGCGCAGATAGAAACATTGGAGGCCGCTGTGTAACGCTAGAAGGCGACGTGGTAGATTCAAATGGTACCTTGTCCGGTGGCTCAGCACCCAAAGGCGCGAATATACTTGAAGAACTGAACTGCATTAGGAGTTTGGAGAAGGAAGTAAAGCAAAAGATGAATGAGCTAACCCAGGTGGAGCAAGAATTAACGTTAGTATTGGGTGTTCAAAGAAAATTAAACTGTGATTATTAAGTCAACTCTTGTTTCTCCTATATATAGTGCTATCGAGAATGTAGCGCACAGCCACAATAAGCTAAAGGAGGCACTTGACCTGCGCCAGCATGAGCTGTCCATGTGCAAGAGCCGTTTGGCGCATACAACTTTCCAGCAGAACCAGGAGGAAATCGAAGAAATGAAGCAGAAGGTGCAAAGCTTAGAACAGCAAAACGCAGAGGCGCGTGAAAAACAAAAGAGCTCACAGGCCAAAGTAAAGGACGTTGAGGCAAAGTTATCCGATGCGAAGGGCTATCGAGAGCGCGAGCTTAAGGCGGTCAGCAACGAAATGAAGGTAGCCAAGCAGAGAGCTGAAAAGTCTCGCGCTAACTGGAAAAAGCGTGAGCAGGAGTTTGAGACGCTTCAGCTGGAAATCACAGAGCTGCAGAAGAGCATTGACACCGCCAAGCAACAGCACCAAGAGATGGTGGACAATCTTGAAAGGTACAAGGCTGAGCTTGATGCTCTGCAAAAAAATAGCTCGACTGCGGCCACGGATGTCGCCGAGCTAGAGAGAGAAATTAAGAGGCAAAAGGAAAATCTAAACACGCAAAATAAGGAAATGCGTACGCTTTTGGGCAAAAAGGATAAACTGCTGAAGCAAAATCAGGAGCTTGAACTGGAGGTGAAGAAGAAGGAAAACGAAAAGAACAAAATAAGTGGAGAGGCAAAAGATGCTAAGAAACGCATGGATGCCCTGGAGATTAAATACCCCTGGATACCAGAGGAGAAAAACTGCTTTGGCATGAAGAACACGCGCTATGACTACAGCAAAGAGGATCCCGTTGAGGCCGGCAACAAACTGGTGAAAATGCAGGAAAAGAAGGAGAAAATGGAACGCACGCTCAATATGAATGCAATGCAGACACTGGAACGCGAGGAGGAGAACTATAATGAGACGGTGCGCCGACGTCAAATTGTTGCATTGGACAAGGAGAAAATCAAGAAGATTATTGTTAAAATGGACGAGGAGGAGCAGGACCAGGTAAAACGTGCCTGGGAGGCGGTAACTGAAAACTTTAGCAGCATATTCAGCACACTGCTGCCAGGCGCCCAAGCTCTACTCAATCCTGTCAAGACAAACGGCATACTTAGTGGCCTCGAGATTAAGGTCGGCTTCAATGGTGTCTTCAAGGAAAGTCTGGGAGAGTTGTCTGGCGGTCAAAAGTCACTGGTAGCTCTATCCCTGGTGCTAGCCATGCTGAAGTTCTCGCCGGCTCCGCTCTATATCCTCGACGAGGTGGACGCTGCGTTGGATATGTCTCACACTCAAAATATTGGCAGCATGCTGAAGCAGCACTTCAGAGACTCACAGTTTCTGATCGTCTCCCTTAAAGATGGCCTCTTCAATCACGCCAATGTGCTGTTCCGTACGCAATTCTTGGAAGGCGTCTCCACCATTACGCGAACTGTTGGCCGATCAGTTGCGAAGCGTTAAATATGTCCACATAGTTATTAGGCTTTTCGAATAAAATCATTTACACAAATCTTTAAGACTTCAAACTATTTTATTGTAAACCGTTTTTCGCACAAAATAGCATTTCATTTTATCCATGTTCTCTAATTAGAGGAAAAGAGTTGAAAAGTTCATATTTCGTCATTTGTATAAAATAAATGTAGGTATAGAATATTTTACTGTGAGTTTTTATTTAAATTTATAAAAAGTGGTGGAAGTTTAACACAAGTTTAACAGAATAAAATATGTTTATTTTTAATTTTAACATTGTATTTTAAGTATCTATGGTTATTTATTAATACAAATGTTGCGTACAGGGTAAACATTTTTTTTTTTTGTATTTTTTAACATTTCTCTACACTTGTGATATATTGAATGTTAGGTTATGTGAAACTGTGTCCGCTCTTAAGCTGATCTTAACAGAACAGTTATGTTATCTGTATCTTAACAGAGAAGCAGTAAATTTCCAATAGGGCTGGTTGGCTGGCCCAAACGTCAAACTGACGTTTGGTCACAGCGACAAAGAGAACGACACTGACAGTCGCTGGCTGTAGGTTGCATGCGCACTGGAGAGACAGAGACAGAACGTTGGTGAGACCGTCGACGAGACGAACGCACCGCGCAAACCCACACAGGCACACACACAGATAGCAACAATACGCACACACACTCAGGCAAGCGAGCAGAGCAGCGACTACGACAATGTTGGAGGAGTGCAGCTGTGAAAAATTAAACAAAAGTGCTAAATTTGATTATTAAATACTCAGCGGCAGCGGAAACAAAACATTCAACATTTCCAACCAACGCAGATTCTTGAAAAAGCTCGTCAACATGGTAAGAAGACACCGAGCAATACTTGCGCTGGATTCACAATCAAAATCTCAATCAAATCGCTTGTCTCTGTGCACAGTATCCAGTGTTTGTGTGCGCGTGTGTGCGTGTGTGTGTGTGTGTCAGTGTGCGTCTGTGGTACAAAATTCTATAAATTGTATATGTTGCCAGACAGGTGGGGGTCACCGTCGGGACCCTCGTAACGATTCCCTTGCTAAGTCTTTTATATTTTATTTGTTTAATATCAATTATTCTACGGAACAAGCACAACTGATTATTGCCAGTAACCAGCTTTAATTTGGTTGTTCCCACCATGGCAAAAGCCTGGTGCCGGCTCTAATGACCTTATCTCGCCCAAGCGGAGGGCATCCACAACCAGGAACTGCAACAAATGCAATTTATTGTTTTTGTAATTTAAACTTTAATAATTGACAATAACTTGACTTGATTACTAGGGCCATATTTGCATATTGTTTCAAATTAGTTTCAATCAAGAATTGCATTTTAGAAGTTATCGTTACTGCTGTCATTTGCCAGAGTTGCCATATAGCACCAAATAACAACCGTTTTTTTTTTGTTATAATATGAATGTTCCTGTAAAATCTATCAGAATATGTGGAGTTACTTTCTCAATGGAGTAGTGCTCTATTTCGTTCCGAATCTCATGAGGGTCTACATTTTTCTTTAAGGATCGAGTCACAAAACCGCAGAAGAAAATGCTAATAACATTGCTGCGCGAGACGAAATACATGGAAGGCAAGAAGGAAAAGGAATGGTATTGGGAGAAGATTCAAGCGGCGCTTAACACTATCGGGCCCAAAAAGACCATCATTCAGTGGAAAAAGGTGCGTATCTCTGGTGGGAAAAGTTAGAACGTTTCACTATTCAAATCTCTTGCAGTGCTGGCGCGACATGCGCCTGACGACGAGAAAGAAACTGGCCGAGCTGAAGCGCTGTCAACTGTCTGGCGGGTCGCCACCACCAGGCATTGAGTTGAACCAGGAGGATAACGATATCATTGACATTGTGGGCACTGAGTACTTTTACGAGGAAATGAACGGCGAGCTTAAGCCGGAAAACTTTATGACCGGCTTTGACTACGTGCCGGAGCACTTTTGCGATGCCATACTGACGGCTGCTGCGGGCCAGCAGCAGCAGCACATGCAACACCCAAAGGATCCACAATCCCACAGTGGCCAGCAGCCGCAGGATCATCACACCAATGATGGGGAGACAAACGATGCGCCAGGCTCCTCGAACGGTGGATCGTACCAGGGTCAGAACGTGAGTCAGCTGCAGTCGCACAACGGTGGCGGCGGAGAGCATGGTAATGGCAATAGCACGCAGCCGCATCCCGGCATGCCGCAGCATCCTGCCTTTCATGGTGGTCTGCATCCGCATCTGCTACGACGTCAACATACAAACGCGGCGCTGCAGCGGGAGACGCCGTTCGAGGAGAAGCTTTTGCAGTTCATGCAGGATGCGTTTCCTAAAAAGAGCAAAAAGCGCAAGCAGCGCGATCCGGACAAGCTTTTTCTGCTATCGCTCTATGAGGAGATCAAACGGGTGCCGGAGGAAATACGCCTGGACGTGAAATCGGAGCTGATGCAAATCTTAAAGAAATACCAGAAGAAGTCACCAGTTAAGGCGGAGAAATCCTCAGCTTCGACGTCCTCAGCCGCCAAACAGAGCAGCAACAGCAGCAGCAGCTCCGCCTCGGCTCATCTCTCGCATAGCATGTATCAGCTGCAGAAGAAATATGAGAAGGGCGAAAAGGAGGCGTCGCCGCAATCACAGGGGGATCCGGTGCCACTGCATGCACCGCAACAGCTACCACTGTTCCAGCTGCACAAAAAGTACGAAGAGACCGCCGAAAAGGTGCATCAACAGCAAAGCGAACAGCGCAAGCTTGAGGCTGCCCACCAGCAGCAGCATGCCGCCCATCAGCAGCCGCCACCGCCGCCCAATGAGCAGCATTTGCATCATCCGCAAATGGCGCATAATATAATGTTTCCGCTGGCGCAGCTGCGCAACGAGCAGCCGCCGGGGCAGCATCATTCGCACAATCCACATCAGCAGCAACAGCAGCATCCCCACCAGCAACAGCAGCAGGCACAACAGCATCATCCGCCAACGATCTTTGGCACCGCTGCTAGTGCAGCCGCCATGAGCGCTGACCGCCCAGCGATGTCGTACGAGAACGTTGGGTGAATGTTGAGCCGTCTGTGGGAAGCCACTTGTGGAGCGCGCCCTTCGACGGTGTCCCCCACGACGGCAGACGCGCACAACTGTTAGCAACAACAAGCAACTAGCAACTGTTAGCCAACCGGCCCAGCTCGACGACAGGGTCTGGTCGGGGTCTCTCTTACGCCCGCCACATAAATGCCGGAACTGTGTGCAAAATTGTTTCAAACACTAGGTTTTACTCGTACTTCTAATCCTTACGCTAGCTTACTATGTAGCCATGAAATGATCTTCATGTAAATGCCATTGGGCTCGATCCCAATGGCTTATCATCAATAATTGTGTATATACATAAGAATATATACATACATATTAGAATTACATATTGAAATTGTGACTTTATTTTCAATTACAACAAATGAATTTAATATATGTATACAAAATGCGAATTCACCAACTTAAATTGTGTATTAACCACTTAATTTTAATTACTTATATGGAATTACTCAATTATACAATTTTAATACCTTGTAGCTTATAAAACTGTTCATCGAGTCCGATCTGTTGGTGATTAACCTGTAAGAGCTAGATAGCCGCATTTTCCACATCTGTTAGTTTTCCAATCCCCCAAGCTTATTTTATTAAAGTTCGACAAACAAGTTAATATTTCCCAATCCAAACGATCTTTAAGATCGTGAAAGTTCGGAAAACTCTTTTGTTTTCAACCCGTCTGCTTGCAGTTCATTTTCGAAACTGTTTGTGAACATTCATTAGAGAACTTCTATAACTAATTGTCTTTATAAAATCTAAAGTCGAGTGATGATATATTTTAGAGTATATATATTAAGTGGTATAATATGATATGATATTTCATCTGTTATCATTTAGAAATATTCGATTCGATGAGAATGATAAAACTATAAGATCTTAGGAGTAGGAGTAGTTGGAAATGAGCCAAATCTAGAAAGGCAAAACGATTTATTTTTAGGCGTACGTAATATAATTTAGAAGTAGACTTCTACTATTGAGGCTGTTTTTTAAAATGTTTCCTCATTTGTTGCAGTCATACTCTGTTCTTGTGATTTTGTTAACACTTCTTCGGCCTGAAAGTACTTCAAAAATACTAACTGATTGTTTACTTTCCATCGAACCACACACAACTTCTGTCTAAAGATAAGATTATGTTTGGATATGTGAATAAGCCGAGCTATAAAAGATTTGTCAAAAAGACACCCAGAATTGTTAGTCCGAGAATTTATCTGCGCTCTTCGGCACACGAGCGCACGATTATGGCATCGCGTATCTCTGGCTCATGCAATAAACGAGATTACGATCGTGATTAGCAGAGCTCGGAGCTGTGGCATATGGCAGCGAGATGTGCACTTATCAGTTGCGTGGGATGTGTGGATGGATGTGCGGGTGGCCGTCTCTTCGAGCTATCTATGAGGCGACAACTGTTGGCAGTTTAGTCCGATCGCGGGCCACAGTGAGAGTCAACGTGAGGACACCTGGGCGAACGGATGTCCGACAGAAAATTCACTTGACGCGTTTATCAAGCGATCTCGGCAGGACCTCGAAAGTTATTTTTGTTGAGTGAAATTATCAATAAATATAGCTAACAAAATGGCAGGTACGACAAATCTTAAAGCCAAGTGTAAAGGTTTCCTTGATCAAGTTCAGCGTTAAACCAAAGACAAAGCATGTGCATGGGTTTTGGGATCTGGTTCAAGATCCAACTGCCTCTAACCACAAATTGCCTTCGCCGATTGCAAATGCAGGTTTCGGTTCACATTTCATGTGTTGTCGAAACAACTTGCGGCAGTCTAGAGTATAAAGTTATGTCAAGGGGCTAATCCAAAAGCATGAGCATAGGCATTAATCAGCCACATTTTCTTGGCCCTATGAAAGGCGCCTCTTTGTCCTCATCCCAATTGATAAATGATAATCTGTTTGATTACTTTCAGTCGAGGCGCGCACTGTGCTCTGGTATATGACTTTCATAGGATTCATTGTCAACTATATGCTACGAATCAATCTGAACATCACCATTGTGGACATGATTGCCGGCGTCGATGGACCAACCCCTGCGCTGACCTCCAACCTAAACAACATGTCGACGACGCTGCTCGGCAATGCCAGCAAGTCGGACCTGGCTTCCGCCTCAGTTGTGGAATCCATTCAGAACACCAGCGCACGCACTCAGCGATATTCGTGGGAGCGTCAGTTTCTTGATTGGGCAAATGTGAGTACGAGCCGAGCAGCTGTGGGTGAATGGGGCTGGTTGCATGATGCATAAGTGACTCATGCGGCACATGCATGATTTATTTGGGGGATTGATATGATTAACTTGGGTTTTTATGGGATTCATGCTATTATATAATTTCAAATTGTAAAAGAAGAGCTATCTGCTTCACGTTGGAGCATTTACATATTATAGAAGTTTAGAGCTCGTAATTGCTCAATTTTGACAAACTATCCCGAAGAGAATTTAATTATTTTTTCTCGTGATTTAAATTTAAATTAAGCTCGCTTAAAGAATTTAGATTTGGAACGATCAGCTATATGATTAATCATGACGATAGCCTTAAAACCAAAAGACAAATCTACTAGGAAGCAGACTTAGCTAAACATACTCGGTTTTAGACTCTGATTAATTTGACTACTTGACTTTATGATTAGACGGGTCTCTCCTCTTGAATAATTCTATCTACAAAAGTTGTAACAGACTCACCTACTGGTAGATTGAATACGAAAAGGATGGATTCCACTGGAACGAAAAAGAGCAAAGCAACCTGTTGGGCTCGTTCTTCTGGGTGCATTGGGTTCTACAACTGCCCGGCGGCATTTTGGCACGTAAATATGGAACGAAGCTGGTCTTTGGACTGTCGAATGGCATTGGGGTATTCTTGTGCTTTCTGATACCGATTGTCTCCTACTGGAGTTACGGCGCACTACTTTGGCTGCGAGTGTTCCAGGGATTCGTAACTGTGAGTATTCGCCTTATTTGAATTGTGCTTGGTAAAATGGGAATTTGAATAATTGAATTTGAATAATAAATAATAATAAAATCAATACAATTATTATATGGATGCAAAGTAGTTTGCTTTATATTTTGATGATCGAATTTGAGACTAATTCAATTAATTTTTTATGCACTCTTCCAGGGTTTGGCTTGGCCCTCCATGCATGTGATGACCGCCAAGTGGATTCCGCCAAATGAGCGCAGCAAATTCGTGAGCGCCTATTTGGGTAGCTCTGTGGGCGTGGCGCTTTTCTATCCGATATTTGGCTATATCATCGCTTGGACCTCCTGGGAATGGGTGTACTATATTTGCGGCGTTTTCGGAATGCTGTGGTTCATTGCATGGCAATTCCTGGTCTATGACAGTCCCGCCCAGCATCCACGAATCGCGCAATCCGAGCAGCGCTACATTGAGAAGTCGCTGGGTGCTTCGGTGCAGAGCAGCTCGCCGGGACCGACGCCCTGGCGGCAGATTGCCACCTCGAGACCGGTCTGGATGAATGTGGTGGCCCAATGGGGTGGCATCTGGGGTCTGTTCACGCTGATGACACATGGACCGACCTATTTCCGGCTGATCCATCACTGGAACATACGCGCAGTAGGCAGCCTGGCCAAATTGGGATTTCGCTTTTGGTAATCTATTTTATGATTATTTTGCAGACCGGCTTCCTGTCTGGTATGCCACATCTGATGCGCATGATATTTGCCTACGTATTCTCCATGTTTGCCGACTACTTGCTGCGCACGGATCGTCTGAGTCGCACCAATGTTCGCAAGCTGGCGACGGGAGTTTGTAAGTAAGTCGATGCAATTTGTGGCCTAAGCTGAATGTTTCTTTTGCTTGCAGGCTGCGGCGTGAAGGGTCTCGTGGTGCTGGCGCTAGCCTACTTTGGCTATAATGCAACAGCTGCCATTGTCCTGGTGGCCGTGGCCACAATGTTTCACGGCGCAGTCTCCTCCGGCCCGCTGGCCTCGATGGTGGATTTGTCGCCCAACTACGCGGGCATAGTGCTCGGCGTCAGTGGCATGATCGGCGGCATGCCGGGCTTTATATCGCCCTTCATCGTGGGCATATTAACCCAGGGCAATGTAAGTGACGCCTCATTATGCTCTCCATTAGACACATATATGAATCCTTTTGTTCTGTGTGTTGCAGCAAACAATTGACGCCTGGAAGAATGTGTTCATGCTGACTGCGGCCATGCTGATCGGCAGCGGCGTCGTATACGTCCTGTTCTCGGAGTCCACGCTGCAGCCCTGGAACAGTGGCTGCCATGCGCTGCCCGATGCCGGGCTCAAGGAACTGCAGACGTTCGAGGAGCAGCTGCCCTTGCAGGCCACTGCAGAAGACGATGCCAATGCGAAGGCTGCGCTCGCAGTCAAGACCAGCAAGGCGCCTGATAAATGATAAGCGCCTGCGTGTCACTTTTATTGGCATAAGTCCATTTTAGTTATAGCCCCCATTGTGTGACAAACGGCCAAAGGCAAAGCAAAGTTATCAGAACTCATTTCTATTTGCACACATATCTTCTGACGGTTAGTGCTAAATTTAAATCAAATATAAATAACATGCATACAGTCTGCTGTCTGCAGCACTCCATAAATTTATTCGCAAACAGCCGCACAACCATTCCATAAACCGGCGAGTGTGTTTTTGGCAAATAAAATGTGGGAACTGAATATACACAAAAGGCTTTAACCGCAACATAGTTTATCTTCGCATATAAAGAGCCGTGCACGCAATATTGGGGAAGCTGCGAATTTGTTTGGCGAATTCGTATACTTGACATCACAGGTGCAAAGATAAGCTAAAATAAATATTTTGATGTGGCCGCTCAGACAGATAAGCGCCCCTATTTACCTTATATGATATATGCATACCATATTGTTATGTTAAAATGAGCCAATCGACAATTGAGAAACAAGTATGTTTTAATTGCCAAAAGAAATTTTCTTTTGAGACAACAAAACAGTAAGAGAGCTCTGATGGGAAGTTACCAAAAGATAGATATCACTTACTATTCGCTGCCTATTTTCCGATCTCTTTTAAATCTTAAGCACATAAATCTGGCATTCAAAATGAATCCCCGAAAACTGGTTTGCCCGGACTAATTGACTTCAATTCTAATACTAATAAGTAGTTTATATTCCACTTAAAAATCTTATAAGTCTATCACATTACATTTAGATATTTTAACAAAGACAACCTGGTCCCTGTTTTTCGATGTTTGGCATAATAATTTATTGCTTGATTGCATAAGGCTGTGCTTGGCGGATTCGAAAGGAGGATGCCTCCGTCTGTGCTGCTGCTGCTTTGTACAATAGGGATAGCCTTGGGTCTGGAGAACCCAATGAACTGTCAAGCTCCAGTTAATAATTGTAATTTAAATCAAAGCTGATTGAAGC